TATAACATCGTATTAAAACTTTTTTTGGTGGAAACACCAAGCCCGGATTCTTATTTCATAAATTATTATGCAGATCAAGCTGCAAGCATGGAGGTAAAAAAGAACAGAGGTGTGAATTCGACATTCAACACCAATCACCAAACAATTCAGAAACTTTTAGCCTTCGAAAATGAAAACAGTTAGCCGTGTGTAAGGGCTGTGTAATTTCCTGTTTGTCCGACACTTCGTTTTCGTGTCACTGTCAAAATTATTGCTACCTTTTACTTAACAGGGACTATTAAAATGGTCTCTATAAAACGATAATCAGGATCGCAAAAAAATTCAACTGATTTGAAACACTTGCCGGACGTCTCTCTCTCTTCTGAAATCCGCCTCGGTGATCATGGGCTGGTCCAGAATCTATTTCTTTCAAAAGTGTTGCGCCATGTTCACGTTGTCGGCGTTTCTCTTTAAACCTAGTCATTTTTTTTATGGACGAGGACAGTTGAATGAATCTAAGGTTAAGTGATGTCGCACCTTCGGATCGATTAAAAACTTGTGAATACATACACTATGGCTATATGTTTCACTGCAACTGACCACAACACAACATCTAAAAACTCTCTCTCACAAAAAAAAAGAAAAAAAAAAGAACGCCGACCGAAAAATGTATATCGTTTAAAAGTATACTGAATGACCAGTGTTATTACGGCTCAGGGGGGTGACTTCCTCTCACATTTTGTCATTTGGTGGCGCACTTTCGGCGAGAGTCGGAAATACGGAAACAGTCGACCGTTTCACGATAGGTGAGCGTGGCTACAATACGAGAAATATCCCAAATTTACTTGGATACGAGTAATCATTTTCAGCAAAAAAATCAATAACTACCTTTTTCAGTGGGACACAGATCTAAAATGGGAAACGTGAGGGTGGGCATTGCACAGGCACTTTAAAATAAAAGAAAAATAATCACATTCTGTTGTTTCAAAAGTGTTCCTTAATTGTTTATTTTGACACAAGTCATCAACTTTTTGGCTTTTTTAGGGTTAGGTTGTTGAAAAATAACTGAAATCATGCAAAAATGAGCCTAGTTCCATGGTAATGTTGAAGCATTTTTTCAGTAAAGATAAATAGTATTCATAACTTACAAGTAACTACATGTATTTTTTTACCATATGTACCTGAACAGAATGTTGAAAAAGTACAAAGCTGTATCACCACAAGGAATAATGGTAAATTGGTTAAAATCATCATTTTTATTGGTGTATGACAACTTTTTGGTCTAAAAGTAGTTTGGTAATAATTTTTTTCTATCATGAACTTGTGAGTGGCAGCATAACATGAAACATTTTAGTAAAAGTCCAGGGAATCTAGAAATAAGTGTACGGTATGTATTTTTCTAAAAAAAAAAATGGATAATTTTGGATTAAATGAAGATAATTGGCTTGATTAAAATTTTAATAAAAAGTGAGGAAAAGATTATGTGAGTTTTATTCTGTAAAAGTTGACTTTGATATTTTGTCATACAGGCTATGTAGTTCAAGGATCCAATGGAGAATACACATATCTAACCAAAGATGAAAGAGTGGAAGTCGTAAGTAGAGTTAGAAAAGGCACTCCAAAAGACAAACTAATAATAGCTGGATCTGGATGTGAATGTAAGTAAATAATATTGCACCCAACATATCATCCATGCTCCCTTGTTTAGCTTTGAATTATTTCAATTTTGCAAGAGACAAAATCATGAAATTTGGTCTCCATTAAGACTCCATTTATCATAAAAATTGAAAATAGAGATTTATCATCAGTATGAAAAAAAAAGTATACATGTACTTCCTAGTAAAATGTTTTAAATAAATATACCATTCTAATAGGACATTGTATTGTTATTTTGTTCTGCACTGTTGTTGTTGTTGTTGTTGTTGTTGTTGTTGTTATTATTATTTTGGATGCTTTTGGTATCTGTCCTTAACGTTTTGATACACAGTTTGTTATGCACCATGTCTGAGGTATGCGTTATGAATATTGACAAAAAAACTTTGTCCCTCTCCCTAGAATTCTCCCACTCTCCTCAATAACACCAACTTGCAATAACAATAATGTTTTATTGCAACTTTCTATCAGTGTACAGCAGTAAAATGTTATGATATAACAGAAGAATAACATATTGTTATCACACAGCTACTAGAGATACTGTTGAGATGAGTAAATTGATGGCCAGTGCTGGCGCCGATGCTGTCTTAGTTGTGACACCATGCTACTATAAAGCACAGATGAAAGCAGCCGCTCTAGAACAACATTATAGAAAAGTATGTGTAAACATTACTCGTAACACAACTTAGTATACCCAGAACACAAAACCATACTGAAATTTCAGTATGAAGTTTATAGAACTCTGAGATCACTCCGAAAGCTTTACTTACTTAGGGTGATATGATGTACCAGAATGTTTGTGATTTTTTTTGGCTTCTCAGTGAACTGTGTGTTCAATTATTAATTCAAATATGAATTCGCTAAAAATCACTGTTTACTGAGAATACTTCTTTGGAATTCAGATATGATATTACCCACAATTTGTGCATATTTATGATATCTAATATTTCACAAAATAGTTTTGACACCCAAAAAATAATTTCAGAGTGCATAGTCATCGTGATAATTTGTTGAAATATGTTTATACATTGTCAACCATTTCTTGTATTTGCTCAAGGCCACATCTTCTGATGGGGGGGGGGGGGGCACATTCACATTTGTTACATAAATGAGGCATTTCATTTGTGATGATTACTCAATCGATTATTATTGTCAGGCAATATATGTTTTGGTTTCTATAATAATTACGGTACATGCAAACATCCTGTTTTGTCACCTGACATGCTGAATTATGTAGAATTTACAGCAAACAAACAAACTGCAGGGAACTTGACCTGATAAATTACCACTTTTACAAATTGCAAAAACTTGACAGCAGCCTCAACGTAAATGAACAATACTTGTACAAATTGTATAAGGAAGTGCCTAAAAAAATATTTCTCTTTTCCAAACTTGTCATCTTATGTTTATTGATCTACTTAGTATGCTCATTTGATGTGAAAATAACCAAATCTTATGACAATTGAATGTCAAGATAATGAACTAAGACGCAATGTTGATTCAAGATAATGTCTAAATAAATAAAGAAACAATGACAATATAATATTGTAGCAATGATACAATAATGAAATAATTAAGAAATAAAGTTTAAATAATAAAACAATAGCAATACAATGCTGTAATAATAACAAGATAATGGAATAAGCACAGAAAACAGATTAAATAAAGACCAAATAACTGAATAATGTTCAAATAATGACAGCCTGCTAATTTTGGCGATATTCTCACCCCATACAGGAGCATTAAATTTCACATTTTGAACTGCAAGTCAAAACAAACACCACCATTAATGTTTTTAGGAATATTCCAATGTTGCAAGGAAAATGGTTTGGAAAATACAGATTTTGTAAAGTAAATTATTTCAGAGGACGCTGTAATATAAATTTACTTTCATAATTTTTTTTCAAATATTGTATTTGTGTTTTGTAATGTAGGTAGCAGATGAGAGTCCTATACCGGTTATACTATACAGTGTACCTGGGAATACTACAATAGACTTACCGGTGGATGTTGCTGTCAATCTATCAAGTCATCCTAACATCATTGGTATGAAAGAAAGTGGTGGAGATGTAAGTCCTACATGTATGTGCCAGTCTAGTCTTTCTACCATATTAGCTGACATACTTTGTATTTACACTATATCACCTGACGTCGTCCACAGGTAAACTCATGAACATCGTCAACAGGGTAACTAATGAACATCGTCAACAGGGTAACTAATGAACATCGTCGACAGCGTAACTCATGAATGTCGTCGACAGGGTAACTAATGAACATCGTCAACAGGGTAACTAATGAACATTGTCAACAGGGTAACTAATGAACATCGTCAACAGGGTAACTAATGAACATCGTCAACAGGGTAACTAATGAACATCGTCAACAGGGTAACTAATGAACATCGTCAACAGGGTAACTAATGAACATCGTCAACAGGGTAACTAATGAACATCGTCAACAGGGTAACTCATGAACATCGTCAACAGGGTAACTAATGAACATCGTTAAAAGGGTAACTCATGAACGACGTCGACAGGATAACTCATGAACGTTGTCGACAGGGTAACTAATGAACATCGTCAACAGGGTAACTCATGAACGACGTCGACAGGGTAACTCATGAACATCGTCGACAGGGTAACTAATGAACATCGTTAAAAGGGTAACTCATGAACGACGTCGACAGGGTAACTCATGAACGTTGTCGACAGGGTAACTAATGAACATCGTCAACAGGGTAACTCATGAACGACGTCGACAGGGTAACTAATGAACGTTGTCGACAGGGTAACTCATGAACGTTGTCGACAGGGTAACTCGTGTACGTTGTCGACAGGGTAACTCATTAACGTCATTGACAGGGAAACTCATGAACATTGTTAACAGGGTAACTAATGAACATCGTCAACAGGGTAACTAATGAACATCGTCAACAGGGTAACTAATGAACATCGTCAACAGGGTAACTAATGAACATCGTCAACAGGGTAACTCATGAACATCGTCAACATGGTAACTAATGAACATCGTTAAAAGGGTAACTCATGAACGACGTCGACAGGGTAACTCATGAACATCATCGACAGGGTAACTAATGAACATCGTTAAAAGGGTAACTCATGAACGACGTCGACAGGGTAACTCATGAACGTTGTCGACAGGGTAACTCATGAACGTTGTCGACAGGGTAACTCATGTACGTTGTCGACAGGGTAACTCATTAACGTCATTGACAGGGAAACTCATGAACATTGTTAACAGGGTAACTAATGAACATCGTCAACAGGGTAACTAATGAACATCGTCAACAGGGTAACTAATGAACATCGTCAACAGGGTAACTAATGAACATCGTCAACAGGGTAACTCATGAACATCGTCAACATGGTAACTAATGAACATCGTTAAAAGGGTAACTCATGAACGACGTCGACAGGATAACTCATGAACGTTGTCGACAGGGTAACTAATGAACATCGTCAACAGGGTAACTCATGAACGACGTCGACAGGGTAACTCATGAACATCGTCGACAGGGTAACTCATGAACATCGTCGACAGGGTAACTAATGAACATCGTTAAAAGGGTAACTCATGAACGACGTCGACAGGGTAACTCATGAACGTTGTCGACAGGGTAACTCATGAACGTTGTCGACAGGGTAACTCATTAACGTCGTTGACAGGGAAACTCATGAACATTGTTAACAGGGTAACTAATGAACATCGTTAAAAGGGTAACTCATGAACATCGTCGACAGGGTAACTCATGAATGTCGTCGACAGGGTAAC